GCTGTGATTATCTTATAATAAACTGAATGACTTTATGCATGTCAAACCTGAGGATTTCTTATTTTAAAACAAAATCCTACACAGCAGGAAGTGAGAGAGTAGAGGAAGAATGAATGAATGAATGCGTGTAAGGGCAGCTTCCTGGAAAAGGTGGCCCTAGCACTGGGTGGCCTGAGGTGGAGAGGAAACCTTTTTTGGGGAGGGAACAACATGGATAAAGACATAACCGAAAAAATAAACCCATTGCTATTGAGTCGATTCCACCTCATAGTGACCCCACTAGGTTTCTAAGGCTGTAAATCTTTATGGAGGTAGATTGCCTCATTTTTCTTGCACAGACCAGCTGGTGGGTTTAAACTGCTGACCTTCTGGTTAGCAGCCAAATGCGTTATCCACCACACCATGAGAGCTCCTAGCAAGAAGGGTAGAAATCAAGAGTGTGGGCGAGCCTGACGGCCATTCAGGAGAGGCTCAGAGGACACATGAGACAGGTGAGGTGGCCGGGGCCAGCTTAGCCTCGCTGAGAATGAGCATGAGCTCCTAAGGGCAATGGGGAGTACTGGAGGGTTGGTGAGCAGGAGAGGCCATGGTCAGATCCAGGTATCAGAGTCCCCCAGGGGTGGGGCGGGAACAAGAGTGGACGTCAGAACGACAATGCAGAGAGGGGGAGAATGATTTGACGTGTGAGCATGTGCTGGGGAAGGGTCCGTGCCTACCATGAGCCAGGGAATAAACTCACCAACTTCCAAGGACTGCCAGATGTCCGATGTCGGAACTGCACCTCAGCGCCGTCCTGGTGGGTTGGGGTCTTCCACTCCATGAGCAGCTTCCCTGCTGCCCCGGACACCTTGATATCTCCCAGAGGAGGGTCATATTTAACTGGAAGCAGAGGTGGGGTCAGGGAAGGCAGCCAGGACATGCTTGAGTTAGTGGGCCCCAATCAGTCCACAGTAACTGACCAAGTCCCCAAATGTGAATCAGGGACACCCCTGTAGCCTGAGATGCTGTGGTTCCAACAGTCAACACGCAGACACAGGATCCCATTAGCAAAGATATCTTTAAAATATTAATATCCATTGCTAGCATGGCTGTGATGAGACAGGCACTTTTGTAAATTGCTGGTGAGAGCGTATGGTTAATCTATGTTTCTCTGGAGGGCTATTAAGGACATCTTACTAAGGGACTCAACAATTTTCAGTTCTATTTCAAGAAGCTTGGCCAAAGGAGAAACGTCTATTACCCTTTCTGCGCCTAATCCAACCGATCCCACCTCAGGGCCTCTGCACTTGCAATAAATACCCTCTGCCTGCCACACTCTTCCCCACTTCCACCACTGCTAGACCCTTTTTACTCCACAGGGCTCGGCTCAAGTGTCACCTCCCGGACCTCTGAACTTTATTCCTTCCCCATAGGGAAAGGATCATGCTTGCTAATTCCACCAGAATTTAGGCTCCATGAGGGCAGAGACAGGGCCGGGGGGCAAGGTAAATGAGGCAAGGACGTGCAAATGCAGGATTGCATCTTGCCTTTGCTTAAAATTTTGATATTTTGTTC